TGCCAGCACCCAACAGTGTGGCACACCCTTGGCAGTGCCATAACACCCTCAATGAGACTCACTGGGTAGATAAATATTCCAGAGACACTCCAGGTCATGTATTTTTCATGAGTTTGTTCTGCTCTGGGGAACTGCACCCTTTAAGAAGATCAGATGCATCTGGAAAAGAAATAATTTTTATAGTGAATAATTTGCTTGAAAAACTGATTCTGAACATCTCAGTGAAGGAAACAACTTGGCTCCCTGGAATGATGATGCAGGGACGTGCCCAGGGGTCAGGTTTGCCCCATGGCTCTGCCCAAGGGGGGGCTGCTCTCCTGGCTGTGAACACCAGCAATTCCTGGAGGAAAGTCCACGTGGAAGCACACATTTCCTGCAGATTCCAGGAGTCTTTGGGGAAGAGCACGAGCCCTTTCCAGCCTGGGGGCTGGCTTGGGTAACCCACTCAGTGCTGCTGGAGCTGGATCCACGTGGATTCACAAGAGGCAGCTTTGGGATCCTGGTGAAACAGCTGGCACAGTATTTATTATTGCACTGGGTTTCAACCATGGATTTAGATATTGATGGAGTCTGCGCCTCCAAGCAAAGAGTGCTAATTAGCACCCGCAACAGAGAGCCAGCTTTTAATTAAACACAGCTTAGTGAGAAGGACCTGTTAGAGATATCGTGCCTTGTCTGAGAGGGATGCGTGCAGGAGGATTTTGGAGCGGGACTGAGTCTGGCAGGGCACAAGGCACTGGGACGGGGGTCCCACAGCGGGACAGGGTGGAGGTGGGGGGCTGCCACCCTCCTGGGGGAGCCCCGGGCTGGGCACCTGCATTGCCAGGGCCAAGCAGAGCCTTGGGGCTCCTGCTGCTGACACCCTGGTCTGTCCTGCCCACACTGCCTCCTCCACCAACCACCAGCTCGTTCCTGCTGTTGCAAACAAGCTGCACGGAGAAGAGAATAATATTAATATTAAAAAGGCATTTATAGTTTTAATCAAGCTTTGGGGGGAAAAGACAGCTTAACACGGCACTTTACACAGTTGATAAAATGTTTGACATTTACTGGTGCCTGTAATGAATCTTGTCTCAATTTTCTCTTTTAAAATGCCACTCCAGATACTCTAACTATCTGTAGGGTTTAAAAAGCACTTATCCAACAAAGCGTTATCACGACGGAAAATATGAAAGGGCGGCTCGGTGGAGCAGCACCAGCTCTGGGGGTTGCTGGCATCCCAGTGGGCACTCTGTGGGGTGGGTGGTGGAGGGGAGAGCCAGGGCAGCTCCACAGCCCCACCGCAGCCCAACCCACCCAAACACCCCTGTTTTCCCACCGGCCACAGCACGCGAGGCTCAGCCACGGACCAGCGCCGAGCGCCCGGGGTACAGCAAACCCAAAGGCTGTGGAGGTGGAGGAGGCTGGAAGTTTACTTTGTCCCAAAAGAACAGACCTTGGCTGCCAGCGCTGCCCGCAGCAGGATGGCACGTGGGCTTTGGGTGTTATCAGGGAACCGCAGCTCTCCCGTGCAAACAGAGCTGCCGCTCCATGGGCGCCGATCCGAGGAGCGTTCCTGCTCCTCCTCTGGAAGGACACTGCGGAGGGAAGTATCAGCAGTGAACACAGGCAGCCGCTGGCCCGGGCTTCCCTTTGAACAACCACTCCAATGTCCTCTGCTTTTCCCTTTTTTCTTCTCTTTTTTTTCTAGAAGGAAGAAATGAATTATTCTATGGAAGTTAGTGCCTGTCTCAGGAGCCTGGTATAGAAAATTAGGTTTTAATAGCTTTGAGATTGAGGCTCTTTAGGTCAATAGGACAAGATTCAGACAGTGAAATCACAGGCCCATAAAGGGGAAAAAAGCAAATATTTTGTTAGTCATCAGAGAGTCACAGTCCAAAGATAGCAGGCAGGAGCTTAAAATACCGCTGTGCTCGTCAGCTCCCGAAGTGTTTAGTCATAAGCTCCTTTTTTCTCTTGTTGTCTCTCTCTATATTAGCTTTGGGAATGGAGCATTTGGCTTTCTGTCCTCGGACGTGCCTGGGAATTCCTCAAGTTACCGCTGGAATTGGAAAGTTTGCTCTGAACCAAAAGCACTTGAAGTCCGTGAGGTGCTGCAGAGAGAGGAGCCACTAACTCAGCTGGCACTTCAGATCACTCAGGATGGAGAACCTCCAAAGAAGTTCTGCCTACAGCACTGGAATTATTTGACTCATTATTAAAGGGATGAATGGGTTATAATTATTCTTAATTTCCTATTCAGAGCTCATTACCACCCCTAAGAAGGGTAGGTGGGGAGCCCTTGAAATCCGGCAAGTTACTTTAAATATCCATACAGCTGAGTGAAACTTCTCATGGTTTGGAGCTGTGACAGGGAAATGGTCCAAATGGGCTGGGAAGCTTCCCCCCATGGCTGCTGCTCCCCGAGGGAGCATCCCAGCCCAGTGTTGCTGTACCAGTCACTCGGGGCTCAGCAGCCCATGCTGGCAGTAGCACCAGCCCAGCATTAGGAGCTAAGACATTGCTAAGGGACCACTCACTGGAGAGCACACATCCCTAACACATGGAAATATCACATTGCTTTAAGTATTGTGCCCAACGCCTGCCCTCCAATCAATGCCCAATTTCCTTCCAAGGATAAAGCCGTGCGTTATTTTTGGCTGACCACTCCAGTTCGGGGCACTCTAATTTTCCCCTGTGCACTCAGAGGACAGACACTTCCCGTGATGCCTCAGAGCAGTGACAGAACAAGCACATTCCTAATGGCTGGCAGAGCCGTACAAAATATATTAAATGTATTAACTTTGGCACTTGCCGGGTCTCGGGAGGAGCTCTTGGAGCTGCTCATCTGCTTCGCCTCCGCTCCCCCGGCTCCTTTCTGCTCTCCCCTTCTGCTAGGAAAATTCTCTGTCCCCAAACTACAGCTGGCTGGAGGTCACCGACATTTGCCGGCAGCTCGTCTGTGCCCCACCGGGAGCCGCCCGTGCCCGCCCGGCGAGGCTGGCAGATGGCACTGAGCCATCCCGTGCCGCAGAGCCGCTGAGCCAGCCCGGCAACCCCTGGGCTGGGAGATGCTCATCGCTCCCAGGGGCTCGCATGACCCCAGAGCCAACTCACGAGCAGAGCAGGGAGCACGGGAATGTGTCCAGGACAACACGACCAACTGCTCTTTTGGCTCAGGAACACCCAGATGCTCAAAGCCTGGCCGGGACTCACTGCGGGCTGAGCTGCCGGGAGGCTCTGGGAGGAGCCAGGCGAGGGACGAGGCGAGTGGGAAAACGCCTTCTTGTCCCCGTGCGGGACGAACCGGCCGGCTGCCGGGCAGCGGAGCTGCAGTGCAGGACACCCCCACCCAGGGATGCCTGGCAGGGAAATGCCAGGGCTCCTCCACCACCTGCCCGGGGGAGAACCGGAGCTGGCACTGTCCGCGGAGTGGCTGCCCATGGCAAACCCAGCCACGTGGGAAGAGCTGCCCAGGGCTCACTCCCTGGCCACACGCAGCCTGCCATTTGATTACACTGTCAGTAAGAGAAGTGCTGGAAGATCACCCCCTGAATGGCATGTACCATGTGGGCTGCTGCTGCCAGAATGGGAAAATTGCCCTTTGTTCTTCACAAATAAATCCCAGGGAAAGCCCGTTCTGAGCAGGCAGCGTTCTCTGGGGACTGCCGAGGACTTCGCAGGCATTGCCATGAATAACAGTTTATCTACAGGGTTTTGTTGAAAATGAAGCCTCAGATACAGCCTCAAATTATGGGGATGCTGTGAAAATGGCTTTATAAACTATTGCTTTTTCCTCTCTGAGCAGCAGCAAAGTACAGGCCACACAAAAGCCAGCCGAGACTCTGAATGTCATAAATAAGTCAGCAGAGCTGATAAAAATAAAGGATGAAATATAATTCAGCCTTTCAGTGACAGATCCCATCTTAGCCATGATATAGGGTCTGTTGAGACTGTCATTGCTTCAGGAAATTAAAGAATGAGCCCATTAGTGAGGATATTTAAAGATGTTCATATTAAGATTATGACTTCCCAGACTCAGCCTGAGCAGGGAACTCACTTGATTCCAAAGTCATTTTTCACAGTCCTTTTTCAGTCCTTCCCCTGAACTCCCAAAAGGTGCCATGAGGGGTCGTGGCACAAGGAGGGAGTGGGTGACAGCACCCAGTTCAGCTTGTCCATTGCCATGGCAACAGGAATACCTGTCCAGACCCTCAAGAGATGGTGCATGTGAGGGGGCACCTGGTCCTGAGAGAGGGATCCATAACCACTGCCATGTGCCATTTCTTGGCACCACCACTCCTTGCACACACATATGTGAGCATCTCCACTCTCCCTGGACTCCTGGAGCCAGGAGCAGTCGCTGCCTTTTGCTTCCACTCCTGCCTGACCAAGCAAACACAGATACTGGCAACAACGGAGCCAATCACATCATAAAAGTGGCTGATGGACGGAAAGGAGCTGCAGGAAAGAGGAGGAATGGGGAGCACCCCGTGGCCTGGGGTGGGACTCGTGGATGCCTGTGCCTGGAGGGATGGTAGGTAGAAGAGAAAAGCAGCAGTAAAAAAAGGTGAAGGTTCTAGTCCTGGTATGTTGAAAAACTGATAGATAATTGTAATTAGCTTTCAGAATTTTTAATTATAGAAGGGGTATAAATAATCACAAAGCGCAGCTTCGCTAATGAGAGTCCTTGTGCTCAGAAACACGGGGATGCATTTGTTAGGGAGACTTTGAAAGCTCTGCTGTTAATTAGGTGTCTCACAGCCAGCAGGGTTTCAGGAGAAGGAGAAACATGTATACATTTAAATCAGGCTCATTGTGAGAGGTACCCAACATCAATTATGGGATAGCAGGGTGCTAAAATGAACGCTATTTGTAATTAGGGAGTGGATCTGAAAGGCAGAGAAGAGCCTTTGCTTCCCCTCAGGTGTCTGTCAGAGGTGTTTAACGTTGGTCAGGACACAGGAGGAGATGTGACCTGCCTTCCTCACACTGGAGAGCATCCCACGGCAGTGACCTACCTTCCTCATGCTGGAGAGCATCCCATGGTGATAACCGTGCACTGCAGAACATCTCAAGGCATCCCTTGGCAGGCTGGGATGGATCAGAGCTTCTGCTGGACGTCACTGCTGGGGTTTGTAGAGCCCTGTGCCACTGCTTTTATTGGCAGGGAAGCAGAAGGGGAGGGGGAAGGCTTGATTAGTTTAATTAAGCATGTGGAAACAGATTGCAATTCCCCACCCACAAAACCCAACACAGCATCTGGGGAGCTGCTGGCCCTGCTCTGGCCCACACCCAGGACTGAAGGGAGGTCCAGCCTCCCCATGATCCCCCATGGATGCACAAAATAAAACAGCAGCTAAAGGGAGTGAGTGCGGACGTTTTCTCCTTCCACTTCATTTCTGGGGCCACCTGGTGTGTTTTCTTGCTGGTCATAAACAAGCAGAAAAGAAGATGACAAAGGCTGGGAGATACTTTCTGAAGTTGTGTCTGGTTTTGTCTGCTCCCAGAGCAGTGGTAAGCTCAGACCCCAAGGTCGATCTCCACTGTCCTTCCTTACATCTTCTTTTTTGGTTAAAATTTTAAGCTCTGACACAGGAGTTTATGCAAGTAATTACGTTTAGCTGGTATTTGGCTAAATCTAATGAAGCAATGATAAACAGCTCAGCGTTTTCTTCCCTGATGACTAATGAATATTAATTTCGCTGTCAAAAAAGAACCTCTACTCATTGCAAAAGATTAGATTCCCTTGCTAAAACTTGAGGAGGGGGTAAGAAGTTCACCAGACAGGATGGAGTTTTGGGAAAGCCTGCATCTGCTCCTGTATGTAGAGCAGCAGGCTGGGTTTAGGTGCCTTCATGAGGAATGGCTGTCAATCACCATCTGACACAACTGTCCTTATTTTTTTGGCAGAAACCCACCTGAGCATGAGCTGTGAGGACACATCAGACTCTGCATGTCCCACAGTTCAGGGAGCAGTGACCTCAGGAATTCCCCTCCGGGGGTGCCTTTGGCAGGAAAAGGGCCCAAAAGTCTTCTACAAGTTATTTTCCTCATAGCACGTGGCTCCCCCTTTCTGGCACTTTTTTCTTGTGTTTTCAAGCCAAACAGCAAAGCCCTGCCCTGCAGGAAGATCCAAGCTCTTCACCTTCATGGGTGGGTGTTAATCTGCCACTTGATGGTCATTTTTAGCAGCGTGGGAAACGTGGTGCTGTTGCCACCACAGGAACCCTGGGACTGGACACGACCCTGCACTCCAGCATTTCGTGGGATGCTCCTGCTGCTGGCTGCATGGCAGCCCCACAGGTTTGGGGTGCTCATCCCAGCTCGCCCCAGCTCCCTGCAGCCCCCCGTGCTGCTCCCTGCTGCTCAGAGCCACGTCTCGGTGCCAGCATCGTGTTAAACTGTTTCTAACTTTAAGCAGCTCGTGGGCTGCAGTGAAACACAGTTTGCACATGATGCGAGGGGAGCCGTGTGGCTCCTCCCGGTGAGGGGGCAGCGTGAAAATGAGTCTGCCTGGGTGGGTGAGGGGCAGCGGGACCCAGGTGGCCGCTGCGGCCCCCAGCAGGACCCCGGCGCGATGGGGTTTGCCAAGGCTTGTCCTTCCAGCGTGCTGCCGGCTGGCAGCCCTGCACCGAGGAGGGAGTTGGATCTTCTTCTTCCCAGCAGCTGCTCTCAACAGCCCAGTAGGATGTGTTGAGTTTCTTGACGTTGTTCTTAAGCATCAGCACCCTGTGCCCGAGGCTGTGCCAAGGGCTGGGGAAGCAGCCTGAGTGCAATGGGGTTCAGGACTGTCTGTTTCAAGGGGCACAGAGGGACCAAGGCAGCTCCTGGGCGCCTGCATCCTCCCTCTTGACTTCTTGGCAAGGTACCAGGAAGCTCCCACAGGAACACACCCGAGCCAAGGCTGTGGAAGGGGCTGGTGAAACAGTGTGAGGGTTTACAGTGAAAACAGATGCTAAACTCTGATTTTGGCAAAAGGAAGCATCTCCAGCATCTGCTCGAGAAGATGCCCGGGTTGGGGAACGTGGGAGCTCCCAGAGCCCAGCAATGCTTAACGAAGCTCATCTTTCCTGTTCATCCTTGTGCAGCTCAGAGACAACAGGAAAGGCACTGACGAGTTCACCCACTGACTGGTTTAAAACACTCCAACTTGCTGAACCGTTTGCCCGCATTGTGGAACTTTGTTCTTCCCGATCCAACTTCCCAGCGGCGCTGCCGCCCACCATGCTCTGTACTTCAAACCTGCTCGTCTGTCCAGAGCCGGGCTGGGCAAGGGATGAGAGCAGTGACTGCTCTGCCACTGACGGGTACGACTGAGCATTCCTTAGAACGAGAAGGAGGGGGAGAGGAGAGGGTATTCTTGCGTGTGCAAATACCGCCTGAATTCAGATTCAAATAACATTGTAGCAAATCTGCAGCACTGGAGATAAAAATGGTAATGAGTTTTAATAGTGTCCTTTGATTTCCATATTGAAATCCACTCCGGGAGGCTGATACTGTATCAGGAGATGTTAGATCCCTGGTCACACATAAGGCAGCTGTACAGCTTCTGGGGTGAGGGAGAGGCGATGGCGAGGCTGCTGCTGCTGCTTCGGAGCATCATGGCTGTGGTGAGAGCAAAGAGCTGAGAGAGGTGCCCGTTAGAGCAGCCATGCAATTAGTCCAGCTATCGATTGTTAATATGCTTTTAATCAATAACCTGGGCAAAGCCAGGAGCTGGATTGATATTGCAAGGGTGTGCAGTATCCATAAAATTGTCATCTGAGCATCCAGGGAGGTGAGCTGCTCCTCCACTGCTGATTAGCTGGACAAGGATGTAATCGGGCAGGGAAAGGCAGGAGGCGATGCCAGGTTATTCATTCCCAAATGCACGTCCCTGCCCAACACACAGACTCCCACCAGCGCCAGCTCCCTTCACTGCAGATCAGCATTCCAGCTAATTGTGCATGTCCACGCAGGCTCTTCAGTGTCGACATCCAGGACTGGCACCTGTTCCCTGAAACTAAACTCATTCTGACACTGCTGATCAATTAACAATCTCGCTCCCCCTCACGTGAGCAGCCACAAGTCCAGACAGACTCACGGGGTTGGGAAGGAATTGCCTCTGCAGCCCTGCAGGTGGGAAGCACCTTAACCCCAATTTCACGGAAGGATCCGTGGCCGCACTCTGAAGCCAGGTCGCGTCACGGCCACGAGCAGCCCAAGGCCACGCTGACAAACCTCACTTCTGCCAAATGGAGTTCTCTCCTGCGGTGGGGCCGTGCCTGCCGGGAGCGCAAGGCCAGTGCCCCGGGCTCTGGATGAGCCCTGTGTGCTCATGAGGAGCCATCTGGGTCAAATAGCAGGAGGAAAGCTCAAAACCTCTTTTTTTTTCCTCTCTAAGAGCTCAAGGGCAAAATTTGAACATCAGAGGCAGGGACACGTCTTCCTGGGCTGATTTGTGAACATCTTGTTGAGACATCCAGGATCAGATCAGAATATTTTAGTGATGCAGAGAGTGATTCAGAGTCATCCGGGTTATCCCCCCTCGCTGAGGGTGCGATTGAAATGTTTGTGGCTGAATATCACCCGGGAAGAGCTGAGCAGTCACGCCGGCACACAGACTGTCATGTTTATATCCCAGGATCTCCTCAGCCTCGCAGCAAAGCTGAGAGGAGCATCCATCATTTTCATACTCGTGCTCTGCGCTGTGGAAGGGCTCCCTCACCCAGCACCGCTCCTGGATCCGACCCAACTGCTCCAGGAGGATGGTGCACTGCCCTTCACTGGCTTCCCATCCAGCATGTCCGGCCAGGAGGGGTGAGTTGCTTGTGGGAAAGGCCAGGAATATGCTGTGGCTCAGGAAAAGCAGATCCCTGTGGTTTTTACACCAGAAGTTTTAAGTGCAGGAGGTTCAATTCTGGAGCCCGGGAATGTGGCTCAGCCCGGGGACCAGAGGACCGTGGGATCTTGAGGATGGCTGGCTCTCCCCAGCTCCCACCCCGGGGCTCCTCTGCCTTGGCAGCACCCTGGCTGTGCTGCAGCCAGCCGAGCAGGAGCAGCTGCCCAAAGGAATCTCCGAGCACCTTTCCAGCGGGTCCTGTTTGCTTCCTGGCTGCCGGCGCGCGCAGATGAAACGGCGCCTCGTCTCTTCCCTCGGCACTAACCAGCTGCCCAAAGACAAACTGGCCTCCCTTGGGGGGCACATTAGAAATGCTTAAGCAAATTAGCCATAAATAGAAAATGTAACATATGGGGCTGTAGATAATGTTTCATTATAAATTATCATATTCACCAGGGAGATACGCCTCTTCCCTTCACACCAAAGACTCTGGGTTTCTTCTTCTGTGCAGATTTTGAGTTTCTTCTTCTTTTTTTTTTTTTTTTGTTGCCTTTTTTTTTTTTGGGTAACTCTTTCTGACAGAGATTGGACTCAGTAGTTGATTTCCTGGGTGTGGAAACTGGGATATGTGGCTCACTTCTGCTGCAAATCCTCTCAGATTTAAAATTCCCTCATTAAAAAAAGAAAATAAGCAAATACAGTCCTGATGAAAGGTGCCTGAGTGGAGGCCCTGAAGATTGAATGGGGCTGTTTATCCATTGCAGAGCTGCACCAAAGACAGCAAGACTGCTCCCTGCTCTGTGCCCAGCCCTGCTGGTGCTGCAGCACCAGGGCCCCAGCTCTCAGCCACATGGAAATCAGGCACTTTCCAGACCAAGAATGCCCACGATATATTCCCTCTGTACAGCTGATCTCTGAAATTTCCTTCTCCTGCTCAGGCTGAAGGGCTCAAGAGGAATCTGCCCAGTGCAGGTGCATCTCCTTGGGAGCCCATCCATCATCCCAACACCATTCAGCGACTGGGGACCCTGGTGGGCAGCACAAAGCTCCTCCCTCCTTGAGCAAGTTCTAGAAAACTGTGTTACTATTCATCCACCTACAGAGTCCTCCAGGGAACAGGCTCCCAGACAGCTCAAAATTCATCTTCCACATCTTGAAAATTGACTGGTTTGGTGCTTTCTTCTGTTTTACTTATAATCCTATAGGGTTTTTTCCACACTGATCCAGAAACAAGTTCCCAGTAGCCACCTGGAAGGTCCCATCTTGCTCCAGGAAGGCATTTCTTTCCTTGCTGAAACCACCCTGGGCTGACCTCCACCAAAGCCTCAATCCTCATGCAGATGGCAGCAGAAAAGAGACTCTTTCCCCCAAAATACTATTCTATATGTAAACACAGACTGTGTAGGCAGAAGCCACAGCACAGGAAATAGTTTCTACTCTACACCTCTAGGTGTATATGGATGTTGGTCTCCCAAGAAACAGAAATCGAGCCCATTTGAAGCACTTCATGTGCTTACAGATGCAGAGATTTACCTGCTGTAATTGCAGAAATCTTGGCACTTGCACCCTGGAGCTAATTGATGTCATCAAAGCACTGAACGAGCCCTGATTTTGGTAGTTACAGTCCCACCTGGCGCCTCCGCCTCTCCGTAATAACCACAGGCTTAAGGGAAAGGGAATGTAGAAATGAACATCTGTTGCAATGCAAATATTTGGGAGGATAGTGGCAGCTCCTACTGGAGATGTTTCCCTGCCTGGTTGCAGTCGCAACACGTCCACTCCTGGATTGGCAGAGTCTTCCTCTCCTGCCAGCGGGATGCAAAGCACTGGAACACATGTGCTGGTGGGATCCTGTCCTTCCCAGGACCAAACTGAACCTGGCAGGGTGGGATGTGGCTGTGCACAGAGCGGGTGGGATGCTCTCCCCGTTGTCCCGTCCCTGGTGTGCTGCTGTGCGCTGTCGGGGTGGATTTGCAGCAGTTCCTGGTGGCACCGAGGGGTTTAGTGGATATCCCCTTACACTGGGGACAGGTGACTTAACTGGGTCAGCTGGCTTTGCTCTGCAAAGGCTTAAAGCTCCACATCAGCTGCCTCAGTGAGTCTCTTGCAAATTTCAAAACAGAAGGGAAAAAATCTTCAAATTTAGCTGGAATTTCATTCTTGATGGAACCTGGGGGAGACATGCCCTTGCCTTGGCATTGCTGAACAGAGAAGGTCTCTGGGTGCTGGGGGTCTGGCCTTTCTCCCCACAGGATGCTCACATGGCACTGGGGCTGGAGGGGACCCAGCAGCGCCTGCCTCATCCCTCTGCATTGCCCTCATCACTCCCAGAGGAAGACAGAGTTGCTATCAGAAGACCCAAACACAGGGTTGCTTCTCTCCAGGATCATCCCTGTTCATCAAGGCTTTACAGACCCTCACAAGGGCCTCAGAGTGTGGTGACAGTGGTGGGGCCAGAGTCCCTATTAAATTACCTTTGCACATCCCAGCTGGAAGCAGTGTCTGCCACAGCTCACAAGGCTCAGAGAAACTTTCTGCCCAAGGAAACACTGACCTTTCCCACAGAGCAGCAGAGCATGAGGACTAGTGGAGCTGTGCCCTCCACAGCCAGCTGAGAGACGAGCATCCCACAGATCAGCTCCGTCAGTTAAAATAAACAACAACCCCAACTATCCCTGCCAGGGCTGAGCTCCGGCTTATTGTTCCAGTCAAAAAATAATTATTGCCCTGAGGCCTTGGAGATAAAAAAAGTGGAAAAGGAACAGCAAAGGCAGCAAGAGGGAAGATCTGGAGCAGTGATTCCCTCACCAGCGCTGGGCCCTGATGCTGGATTCCTGTAGGCACAGGAAGCGAGGCACAGCCAAGGACAGGAGCCACAGCCTACCTGGGTGTTTGATCCCCTCCTTCACTCCCTACCAACTTGTGACTTTTATAGCCTTTGGCTTGGACTTTTTTTCTTAAAAACAAATCCATGGCTCATTTTCCTGCTGTGGCATGATCTGCTCCATGTAACAAGATGGACAAACACAAAGGTGATCTGGAGTGTGGGGCAGCACAAGCCCTTGCCAGCAAACCCTCCAGAGCCAAAAGCATCAGAACCCTAACCCTGGGGGAACAGGGGAGGGAGGCACTACTCTCCAGACACCTCAATTCTCCTCTGAACACTCTGGGGTGGGTGGTGATGCCCTGGACACACAGAATTTCAACCAGGCAGGAAAAAGAGGCAAAATCCGTCTGCTCTGTGTGCCTGGGATTAATATTTTTCTACTCCCAGCCAACATTTCCACACAAAGGGGCCACCTTAATATTAAGGACACAGGAGGGAGGTGGCAGGGCCGTGGGCCCCCTCGTGCTGTCCCTGGGCAGCTCCAGTGGACACAGCACACACTTCCAGGAGCGGAGCGGGCGCGGCTCCCGCACGTCTGCACAAGGCAAACACAGATTATGCCATTTCTTCAGGCCTTTCATTCCACACGTCATTTTTTCTATCTAAGTATAGGTTTACACGAGAGGTAATTACCATCCTTTCACAGCTCTTAGTGCAGAGCAAAATGAGACGGAGTATTACATTCGTAATCTAATCGTAAATAAAAAGGGCCGTAATAACCCCCAATTAGCACATTAAAGTGTGTCAAGGACTCATTTTACCACTCCAGTGTAAACAAGACCC